AAAAGGTGTTGAGTCTAGAAGGCTGATTGGCTTTGCCTTCCTAACTTCTCTGGACTCCAACTTTGAAAGGCTCTGGGTCAAGGCCTCAATATTGGCACATACTTATGTAATAGTTACTGAACCGGACTTTCTAGAAAAAGTCTGTGAAGCCCAGAGTAGGTATCACTGACAACGTCATCTATATTGAGGGTTCCTAGCCTTCTGTTCTTGGAAACTTGGTCTGTAGAGATGAAGAAGATAAAGTGTTCCTAGATCTCAATGAGACCCTTTCTGGGACTGAACAGCACTCATTTTGCTACTGGAATTTAGAGAGCATAGGGCAGGATGATGTTTGTTAAGAATAGCATATTATGGTTTTTCACCAAAGAAAGCAATGCCATAATTTCTGTATGGGGATACCATCCCTAGCCTGAGTTGAGAAAAGCAAAAAGGCAGCCCTCAAATGCCCTCACCCCAAGCCTCCCCAGGTGCATGTGTCGGGGGAGGGAGAGAGGTGCCTGGGTTTCCAGGATATCAGTCACCCTTTTCCTACACATGTACACAAATAGAACTCTACATTGAATGGGAAAAGACAAGCAGGAATTTTTTTCCACCAATGTCTCCTTTTAAGAAGGGTTTTTTTTTTTTAAAAGCATGGCTATGTAAATCAATACCAAGTTATTTCTTTGAATTCAAAAGCTATTTATCCAGGTCTAATTTCTTTAGAATTAACGTGATAACTGAGCCCAACTTAGCAACCAAACCCAGCCAGGATCTGGCCGGTTTGAAGGTTTGAATGTACTACCACAGGAGGAGGCAGCTAACCCTACTCGGGCACCCAACACATCAGCCGGGCCAACTCAGCAGGAAACACCCCAGCTAGTAGGACTGCCTTAGATTTTCAACCCAGAGAGACCATTCTTCCCATAGTTGTTGAGGTCAAACTATCCTAAAAGTTGACCTTGTATTCCCAGCACCTAAAGATTTCTCTCTAACACTGACGACTGACACAGAAGACCTTCCACCCCCACCTCAACACCATACAAAGAAGGGGCGGTTTAGGCCTTAAATCCTGCTTCTGGAAACTTACTGAATAGCACCCTCACCTACTACAGGGCCTAAAGAGCCTGAGGGCTCTTACTCTCAGGGAATTGCCTACTTTACATCTATTTTGAATGACAAAGCCTTCGCAAGTGTCTCCGGCCGCCTCCCTACCCCCAGGGCAGGCCGAGGAGCGATTTGGGGCCAGACAAAGAGGTAAGAGGTAGAGCCCCGGCTAGAGACCCTTGGGGCTCGGATCTGAAAGCCTCTGCGAGGCATGCGCTTTGCCTAGGAAGGCCGGAACAACGGGAGCCAAGTTCTAGCCTCTAGCAGAAGGGCTCGATTGTTACAAACCAAAGGTGAACGCCGAACGCTTTGCCTCGGCTCGCTACCGCCGCCCGCGACACTGGGCGAAGGGCGAAGAAGCCGAGACGCGATTCAATTGAAAAGAAACCAGCTGCGAAGAGCAGCTCCAGTCGCAAGCAGCCTCGGCACGTCAAACTTTTCGAGCAAGAGGCCACACGTGGCAGCCGCTCACGGCCGCTCTCTGCCTGGCTACTCCCGAGACCCGTGGGAGAGGCGGGACTCTATCGCCTGCAGTGCAGATTGCGTCCCGTAAACGCGCACAGAGCCCTCTACCTAGCCAGGAGGGACCCCACGCTCGCAGCCCCAGTGGGTCTGTGGCAGCCCAATTCGGACGGCTCATCAGGTCTCAGCAGTGAACCTTTGCATATGCAGCAATTGCTACCTCTGTGGGGTAGCACCTTTGCTCCTCGGGAAGGTCGCGCTAGGATTTTATTTTCCACCGGGCGAGGAGTGAGTGCCCTGCAGCTGCACCTCAAATAATCCCAGCCCTCCAGGTTTCCGCGGGCGTAGAGCAAAGTAGACCCCTCCTCACTTCCCCCTCACCCCCCTGCCCATTCCCATACACCGAATCCCTTTGCAAGTATAAGTTGCTGCGCCCTAGATTTGGTGCTCAGCATAGGGACCTTCCCAGGCCCGCCACTACTATCCCTACTCGGGGTGCCGCAGAAATTGAGGAAAGCCAGCGAGGAGGACAGCAGTGCACCTGCGATCATAAAGTGCAGCATAGACTGGGGTGGGGGGGAAAGGGGGACCTTAACCGTGTTAACAGCAAGCTGCAGGGTATAAAGCAATAAAACTGCCACGTCTACCTGCTGGCTTTGAGGGCATTACAAACAAGCTCGGCGTGGAGCCCGGTTGCATCGAGAAAACGCCAAGGAATTGGGGGCGGGTGTTCTCTTTTTCTGATCTCTCTTTTTCTTCCCACCCCCAACACACACACACACACACACACACACACACACACACACACACACACACACATATCTCCCTTACCCATCCCTTTCATTGTCCCTGAAGCTTTTTTGTTGTTGTTTTAATTCACTGCCGATTTGTAAACGCGTGGATCGGGTTACTGGTTCACGTGTTAAAGTGCACCTCTTGTTTAAAGGAGGGGAACAAGGCACGCCACTTAAAAATGAATTCAGAGTTACTGAACCGGCTCCCGAAGCTCAAGAAGTTAAGCGCGGCTGGCTGAGAAGGGAGGGGTGGGGGAGAGAAGGTAAACGCTCGAGCCCCGAGAACCCCAGAGAAAACCCGCTGGCAGCGAGCTTCAGGTCATTTGATAAAATGGAGGATGGGAAGAAAGAAAAAGAAAAAGGCGAACTAGCCCGAGGATGCCTGGAGACCCCAGGTTGGGAGCTGGGAAATCAATTAGCATAAGCCGCTGCCGGGGAGCAACGCTCAATATGTAAATAGAGTGCGAGCTGTTACATCTGCAGCCACCTTTCCTCGAATTATAAAGGCGACTGGCACCACTAAATTGCCCAGTACTGGGGTTTCTTGGATCATAAGACAAAGAGTCCAGGCTAATTAGCAGCAACGGAGCCACCTCCCATCCCCCACCGAGTTTCCAAAAAGGGAGAAGCGGCCTCGACCCGGCAAACCTGTATGCACGCTGACCCAGAGTCTCTGTATGGCCCAAACTCCGGGCTTGGGTCTATTCTGAGACTGAAAGCTGGCATCGAGCCTGCGAGGGTCTGCGCGTCTCGTCCACCCGGACGAGATCCACTGGCGGCGAGGGGGACCTATACCTCCCCGCAGTCCCAGGAACCAGCCCCAGTCCCGGTCCCGACCCCGATCCCGGCCTGGCCTGCCCTCCTCGGCACCGGGTCCCCAATCCGACTCTCCTACCTGGTGGCCCAGGCTGAGCTGCACGCCGGAGCTCCGCAGTCTCTGCTCGGCTGCCTGAACCTGGAGACTTTGGAGAGAGAAAGGCTAGATCCGCAGCCCTGGGCTGCTCCGAACTTAATGTCTTTCCCCAGTCCATCTTTGAAAGAGAAGTGGTTCTACCACCTGGATGTGCGGATATAAATCCCCTTGCAAATAATAAATGGATTAATAATAACAAGGTATGAAGTTCTTTTTATAGAAAAAAAGGAGAGAATTGAAACTAAATGCGGCAGTTAGACAACCATTTTGATAAGAGGATAATTGAGGCGACACTGGTGTATAATTAGAGGATAATTTATGCTATATCCACTTTTATTCCACCTCCCAAAATAAACCCAGTCCATAATCATTACAGGCAAATTGTTCTGAATTTTATAGCAGCAATTTGAACAAAGTACTGCAGTTAATCATGGGAGATTTTTGTGTATTCCTGATTAGAACTCTAATTGCCTCCTTCCAGAAAGTAAAAATAACTGTAAAACGACTCTATTTTTATCATTAACAATGTTGACAATAAAATAAAATCAATTGGAATTGTAATCGAGAGACAAATTTAGTACGAAGGCACTTTTACTTGGGTAGTTTATATTGTAATCAAGATTTGCCAAACCACTAACCGCATGTATCATTTGCATATATTTGAAAGCATTACAGTAGCTTCTGTTTTCAATAGGAAAAAAATGCATTACTGTCAGTCCTCCAACGATTCGCTTTCAGAACAGGCTGCTGAGTTGGGGCGGGGGGGGGGGGGCGGGGGGGTAGATTTCTCCTCCTTTTTTGTTCAATATAAAGAAAATACGGCCTGAAAAGACAGGAACCTCGCCACCACGGGATCTGACTTTTCTTTATCTCTGCCCCCCTCACCCATCCATGGGGTGGGGCCCAGGTGTAGGGGGTTCTTCTTCCCTCTGCGATTTCAATAAACTATGTCTAGAAAAATCCACAGTGACAAGGAGCTCCCGTGGGACTGTAGAGGGACTAGGGTGTAGGTGGGAGGAGGAGGTCAAGGGAGGGAGGGGGCCTTGCTTTAAATGCAGGGGGCATTGCTTCTGAGCACAGGCAGCCTGTTCGGGTGCAAAGGGATACAGAGATAGAGTTGCAGCACCCCGTCAGACTATTCCAGGGCTGCAGTATTGGGGACTAAGGCTCTGGACTGGGGAGGCGCGAGCTAAGGTAGGAGGCCGACCGGGTGGAGGCATCTTCCCTCCGGGTTGGCCCGGTGAGCAGAGCCGCGCGGCCGGGGCTTATAGCTCCGGGCTAGGATTGGAGTTGCCGAAGGTAGGCGAAGAACTCGGCGAGCCCCGCACACACCAGTAGAAGCCGTGCGCCTGTGACGTCAGGGGGCGACTGACCAATGGGGAGGCGCTGCCCTTTGGAGACAAACCATTCGACTCGTGGCGTCTACATCAAGTCTGAAAGCAGACGCGCAACTTTCGCAGAATCCACCTTAAAATCTCTGCCTTAAACTGCACCAGCCCCCAAAAAAATCCAAGGGGGGAAAGGAAGGGGGGGGAGAGCAGATTCCCCCCTCCCCCCTCTCCTCTCCCATCCCTCCCCCTTCCTCCTCCCTTTGAGTTAACAAGGCCCCGCTCACTATATCTCTTTATATTAAAAAATATATATATTAGAGAAGAGCGAAGGAGAGAACCATCTCCACCCCTTCTTTTTTTTACATTTTAATTTTTTATTGTATTATTATTTTTTATTATTATTATTATTTTTTTGCAAGGATCCCACGAGCTAAGGTGGCTGCAGAAGGGAGAGCGGCGCGAGCCAAGTGGGGGGAGGGTGGAGGAAACCCGGGAGAAGGCTTTCTCCAGCCCCCAAAGTTTTGATGATGACCATGACTACGATGGCTGACGGCTTGGAAGGCCAGGACTCGTCCAAATCCGCCTTCATGGAGTTCGGGCAACAGCAACAGCAGCAGCAGCAGCAGCAACAACAGCAACAGCAACAGCAGCAGCAGCAGCAACAGCAGCAGCAGCAGCAGCCCCAGCCGCCGCCGCCGCCGCCGCCGCCGCCGCCGCCGCCGCCGCCACCGCCGCAGCCGCACTCGCAGCAGAGCTCCCCGGCCATGGCAGGCGCGCACTACCCTCTGCACTGCCTGCACTCGGCGGCGGCGGCGGCGGCGGCGGCCGGCTCGCACCACCACCACCACCAGCACCACCACCACGGCTCGCCCTACGCGTCGGGCGGCGGCAACTCCTACAACCACCGCTCGCTCGCCGCCTACCCCTACATGAGCCACTCGCAGCACAGCCCTTACCTCCAGTCCTACCACAACAGCAGCGCGGCCGCCCAGACGCGAGGGGACGACACAGGTGAGAGGCCGCCGGGACACTCGCTTCTCCCGCCTCCCGGCTGTCCCCCACCCCGCCCGCCCCGCTCACTTCCTCCACGCCGGGGCCTCCGCCGGCCCCCTCCCCCCCCCCCACCCCGGCGGCCCGGCGCGCCCGGGCCCAGGCCTCGTGCGCGCCCGCTCGCCTGGCGCCTGCCTGCCGGCCTCGCCCGGTCGGGCCCTCGCCCGCCGCCTCGGACCCGCGGCTCTTGCACCCCGCGCCGCGCGCCTCGCTCCCTCCTCTCCAGCGCGCCGCTCGGGCCGCGCCTCCGGCTGCGGGCGGGCTCTGCTCCTCGAGGCGCCCGCTCTGCGCTCTCCAGCCCACGGTCTGTGCGTCCGTCCGTCCGTCCGTCCGTCCTTCGCTCGCCGGGTCTGGGACCCGCGTCGGACAGGACTGCGGACTTTCCCGGGCTGGAGCGTGCGTGGCTCCCCAGCCCCAACTGGGTTACCGGTGGCCTACTTTGCGTGGGCCACCGGGACGCGTCGGTGACCCGGGGGGGAAACTGGCGTGGCCTCTGGCGCTGGTTCTCCTGGTGACAATTGGACTCTTTCCCGCGGGTTCCGAGGTGACACCCCCCCTCCCCTAATCTCGGATCGGGTCCCCTCCCTCTGGGTTTTCACTATGGGGTTGGCAGCTTCTTTGTTCGTGGAGGCGGAACCGAGGGCCGCGGGCAGATGCTTCTCAGAACCGAGGAGCCCAAACTTGCCGTGCCCGGCGCCGCTCGCTCCTGAGCTGGGCTGAGCGGCCGGTTCGATTTTGCCTGGGGTTTTGGTCCGTTTCAGCAGAATCTTTTTGAACATCCCTCCCCCAAGAGATTGGAGCTAGTGACATCTAGCCCACAGGCTCCAGGAGCACCAAACTAGCTCCAGCACCGTGTAAGGCACTGTAAAGACAGGCCGAGGGGCACAGTTCGGCCCAGCAGCCGCCCCGCGGCGAGGCGCGCGCCCTGGAGAGCAGCCGGCGCCGCCTCCGCTGTGGCAGTGAAGCTGTTCGCCCGAGGGCAGAGCCCGCTCCCTTGGTCCAGCCACTGCGCCTTTTTTAGGGCCTTAGGCAGGATCGGCAAGCTTTTGCAACTGTTGGGTATACCTGGGCACCGTGATCCCTGGGAGGTTAGGTGGCTTGGGGACGCTTCCGAGGAAACCCCCCACTGGGCTTTGGGGATACCCAGACCAGGTCAAGCCGCGCTCAGGGAGACTGCAGCATTAGCCTTACAGGTGACCCGCTCCTCTGTCTCCTTTGCTTGCAGATCAACAAAAAACCACAGTGATTGAAAACGGGGAAATCAGGTTCAATGGAAAAGGGAAAAAGATTCGGAAGCCTCGGACCATTTATTCCAGCCTGCAGCTCCAGGCTTTAAACCACCGCTTTCAGCAGACTCAGTACCTGGCCCTTCCTGAGAGAGCTGAACTGGCAGCTTCTTTAGGACTGACACAAACACAGGTAATTCCCGAGAAGCCCGAGTAGCCCTGAAAAGCTGATCCCCGCTTGCACACCGGGCAGGGAGCAGCAGCACAACATGAGGAATTCTTGGCCTAGTCAACCAAGGATGGAAAGAGCTTAATGACAATTGCCTTTGCTCCAGTTATGCACTTTCCTGGGACAACACAGTTTGGAATAAATGACCTGGTGTTGCATACTGGATTTGATTTGCACCTCTTCCCAACCCTCCAACCCTCCGTCATCCCATCCCAAACTAGTGTATTTTAATGGCCAGACTCGGAATTTAGTCCAGAGCAAAATAACATGAAAGAGAGAAAACCTAGAGCAGAAAGAGAAAGATTTTAGACCAGGAGGCAGAATGAGATCCATATCTTTTGAAGGATTTTTGGTGTGCCCTGGGAGTTAATAAGGATTTCAACTCATTGACAAAGGAAAAAAAAAATATGAAGTGAAATGGGGTGGAGAAGAGCCAGATAAGTATAGGCTCCAATGGGATTTACTAAAGGAACCAAGGTACAAACTATTCTTCCAAGACTGGGTGAGGTGGGATTTTTGTAAAGATTGCCCTAAGCCCAATGGTTAAGCCATTCTGGGTGACTGGCTTGCTGGCTGGGATATGTCCCTGGAGCACAGGTCTTGGGAACAATGGCAAAGCTGGAGATCAAAGAGAAACGCTTCCCCAAATTACAGCAGGTAAAGCTTCAGTTAAGTACAGTTGCTGAAGTTCTTCTGTCCTACTAATTTGAAAGACATATGGGCATTTCAGACTTCACAGGAAGGGGCTTAAGCAGGTATATTAGAACTCTGGTCATAAACCAGGTTGCAATCACCTGTGGTTTTTGTCCTTGTCTATTAACTTAGCTGCATGGGGTGATAGGCCTCATCTCAGGTGGGTGATCTTCAGCACGAAGACTTCAAAAATTATTAGATATTTGCTGGAGAATGCTTGTATAGTGCCTTAGAAACATATGTTCTTTTATCTCTTTTTGATTCTACCTGCTTTCTCTTGGCTACTGGAAATATTTGGGGCTTGAGATGGAAGGGATTCCCGCTACTGAAGTAACTTGTCCTCTTGGAAAAGCAGGTTCCTATGGCTTAGGAGTTTTAAGCATAAAAACAAGTTTCATCATAGAGTTTCCTTCTCAAATAATGTAGATTTGGGATGTTAGTTTAGGGAAGTTCTTATCCTAGATTCCTGGTTCATGTTTTATTTTCATGAGCCCTTTGACTTTTAATGACTGCACTAACAATCATGTGATGATTGTTGACCACAATTGACTATGCAACATACAAAATAGGAATGAGGGAAGTACATTCCTGATCCCTGCAGGATGTAGGGGTATGTTTATGTTGGGAGCAAGATGCTCCATGCACAAGTCTATGGCATGTGCTGTGTGCGCAAGTGTATCCAAGGCATTTGCTTGCAAGCTTTAATCTTTTCATAGTTGTTTGGTCATTGTACCAGGTTAGGGGTTCATAAACTGAAAAACATAATATCATAGTAGAGGATGTGCATTCCTTTGGCTTTGACCAGAGAAGTTCTCCTTTGAAGAAAAAAAACCAAAAAACTTCTTTCGGAGTATGGACCTAGTTATCCTAGTTATCGTATTCACCTTCATTCCTTTTTTATGCAGTTATTGTAATACAGGCTTGAGCCAAACTAAAGTATTACAAGATAACTAATAAATGTGGGTGGAGGTGAGAAGCTAGAAAGAGGAAGAAAAAGACTGGAACTTGAGGCCTTGATGTTTGTGGGTGTGGAGGGGGTTAGCAGTGGAGCTGGAGTATGGATATTGCATTCAAGGTCTCAAGTGGAAGCACTGGATCTGTGATTTTCAGGTCTAATGATCACTGCTACATTTTGTTGCAGGTGAAGATATGGTTTCAGAACAAACGCTCTAAGTTTAAGAAACTGCTGAAGCAGGGCAGTAACCCCCATGAGAGTGATCCTCTCCCGGGCTCAGCGGCCCTGTCGCCACGCTCCCCGGCTTTGCCTCCGGTGTGGGACGTTTCTGCCTCCGCCAAGGGCGTTAGTATGCCCCCCAACAGCTACATGCCTGGCTATTCGCATTGGTACTCCTCTCCACATCAGGACACGATGCAGAGACCACAGATGATGTGAGTTGTCAAAGGGGAATCGATTCCCTAGGGAAACGTCCGAATGCAAGGAGGATCCAGGACCTGCGCTTGCATCTGCCAAATCGAGCCAAAGGAGCTGGCTCAGGAGAACTCTTACGTGTGGCGAGACCATCTGGGCGCTTGCTGTGCGAGCTCTCTCTCTCTCTCTCTCTCTCTCTCTCTCTCTCTCTCTCTCTCTCCCTCCCTCCTTCCCTCTCTCTCTCTCTCTCTCTCTCTCTCTCGCCCTCCCTTGTTCCCTCTTCTCTTTTCCCTCCTTCATTCTTTCCCTCCTTCCCTTCCTCCCATCTTTCTCTTCTTCTCATCTGCTTTTTCCCTTTGAGCAGCCTCAGTAATTGATCTTTGCATGGGGGGTGGGGGGAGGGCAGAGGAGAGATCCAGAGAGCCTAGACTGGTTTCTATGCCAGTGCTCCTGAAAACCCCTCCTTGTAAGGATCGGTTTCCCCCCCCCCCACCCTTATCCCTTGGGATCCAGGCTCTAGCCTCTTCTTCTCTTTGGGAGTATCCATCAAAAATGATTGAAAAAAAAAAAAACAACCTTTTTTCCCACACCAGAGGAATCTGCACAAACATGGCAGCGTTTTACTTGTTTAATGAGCTTAAGACATTACATGATGAAAGATAAACATTTGGGACTCCTGAATTTTTATTTACCAAATCCCAGACTGACAAAAAGGAAAAAAAAAAGAAAAAAGAAAACAATCCCTCACATAACACCCTCTCTAAAGAAAAGGGAAAATCGGCTGTAAGGGCAGAACATTGCCACAAAGGGAACGCTGTATGTTTTATCAAAATGCAATGAGCAAGAATGATGGTTTAAAAAAAGAAAGAAAAGAGAGAAAACCACTCTTTCCCCATCCCACCCCAAACCCTGAACTGGAATCAGGAAAGACAGAAGAAACAACCAAAATCACCATTCTATTGCTTTGATACCTTTACTAGGTGAAATGGTGGCGTTCACTAAGCTAATAGGGACGTTTATATTGAGAAACATTTCTGTATATATTGTTGAATTTTAGTTGTACATATACTTTGTATGTTTTTGTCTTCTTTCATATATGGAGTAAAAGCCACAAAATGCTGGGAGTGTTCTGTATATTTCTCACTGTGTGTCTCTGTCTTACTCCCCCTCCACTCCCTCCCAGTATATTTTTTATCACTCTTAAAAAGAATTCCTACTTCCTAATATGGGAAGTCCTATATATAAACATCAAATGCCTACGAAGATGTCAGTTTGCAGCACTAGTTTTTTTGTCTTAAGTGCTTTAACATTAACTACGGATGTTTTCTTAGCTTCCATTGCATTTATATTTTTATTATAATTTAAACACATTTATTTCTCCAATTTTATCTATTTTAAATATTTGAATGTTATTCCCAGGTTAACCCCTAGACATCCAGCAATTTCCAGTGCTGAAACTGAGTTTTCTTCTTTCCCTTTTCCTCAGTCAAATACAAATACAGCTGTATTTGTCTTTATTTGAAAGCAGTTCTTCTTACAGAGAAAAAGGTTAAAATATAGAAAGTAAATTCACAATTATGACTACTTAATGTTTAAACCCTTTGCAAGCTAGGTAGGTAGGAAAATGTACTATCCTAAATGAAATACATCCTTCCGATCTTGTGGAAAGCACAGAAATAATGAAAATGAAAAGTCCTTTCGTCATACAAGCAGGAAGCCCCATACTGCGAGAATTAATGGCTACAGACCTGGGCATCCTTCAAATTATGAACCTTGAAACCACTGAGCCATTTATCAGAAGTCAATAGAGATACTCAGAGTGCTCCATATAATGACAGCGACATACAGTCGTGCAAAAGGACAGTCACTATAATTAGACACAAAGCAAAGACTACTTACCAATATACCCGTTCCTTTTTTTGTTGAGCAACTTCCACGCTCAGTCAGTCTTCAGAATGGTTTAAAACCGATCAGTCTTGTCATTTTCTAGCATTCGCATTGTTACATTAGGAAAAATGTTTTCTTTTCTTTTTTCCCCCTTCCTACTGTGAAACTTTGGGTTCGTAGCTCCCCAGGATCAATTCTGAACAAAGCCTCCAGCTGCAGTGCCATCCAATTTGAAGCAGACATTGGGGACAATTTAAGGTTTTTATCCACAAGAAGGTTTTTTTCCATTCTCTTAAATGCAGCCATAATTAGAGTAATTTTTCATGTAGCCCGCTGATTACAGCGTTTTTACCGTCAAAGATAATTACCTGTAATTTTCTTCCACTTTTAATACTAAAAAGCCATCTTTATTTAGATTCAGGAACAGGAAAGGCGAAACAAAAGAGGGAAATTATTCTGTTATTCATACACAAATTGCAGAGACGTAGGACCTAAAATTGAAAATTAACCAAAATTATAATGCTGAAAAGAATGGAAGAGGCTGCAGAACTACAGCTGGTAGTGGGGCTTTGCTGAATTATTCAAATTATGTTAGGGAGAAAGCTACCATACATCGAAACCAACACTAATTTTTCTTTAAAAAAAAAAATCCACCAGACACATGCCAAACCACCGTGAGTGCATGGAATTCTGAAACCCAGCAAATGCAAGTGAAGGCACTGGAGGTGTTGTCATAATGTGCCTGTATCATTTTTCTATCCCTCAATATGAGTTCAATTAAACAGGGAATGATGCTAAGGGGTCCTGCCAGAACTATCATGAGGACCGGACTTCCTCGGGGTCCTGTGAACTTGAAGGGTTAATATTTTCACTCTTTAGAATATTGACCCCATAGTAAACTGATTCCATAGAGGATTGGTAGGAGGGGCTTGGGTGAAAGGCAGAGCCCCATCCTAGTGCCTACTACGCCGCCCCATGTTGGAACTTCCTCACAGAGTTCCAGATCTGGAGCTTCTTTCTCACCAGATATTTTCTTGGGGAGTGAGGGGGGGCGGAGGTGGGGGAGCGGCAGAGAGGGAGGAAAGGGGTGGGGGGGGGAGAGAGAGAGAGAGAGAGAGAGAGAGAGAGAGAGAGAGAGAGAGAGAGAGAATAAATAGCTTCAAGGGGGGTGGGAATGAGGATGAGGAGGAAGTTTTGGGTGTTTTTTTTTTTCTCTCAGCGCCAATAAGCATCTCATTAAATTTTGACACAATTTAATCCAAAGGTTGCCACCGGAGAAAGGTCTTTCTGCCTTTCTGCTCTGGGGCGAGAGAATCAAAGATTTCTCAGGCTTTCTAGTTGCTTCCAAGGTTTACAGTGCCAGGAAACAGCGTCATCTATAGATAGAACAGCACCGCGCTTCTTTCGAGAGTCTTCCTTGCTGCTTTCCTAAATCAGACTGGTTCCTCTGCGCTGCAGCACGGTTCCATGTCTTAGCCAATCATGCCCTTTCAACCCCAAGGTCTTAGCGTTTGGGCTAAAACTCTGGGGCTTGCATCCAACCCCTTACCCCCCTCACCCCGCCCCCCTCAACCACCACTACCACACACACACACACACACACACACACACACACACACACACACCAGCCTCCCCTCCACCTTCCAGCCTCAGGCAAAGGCTCAGCAAAGCAAACCTGAAAGTGTTTCACAGGCCAGTTACTCCGGTAACTAGTAACTTTCTCACTAGTCGAGGAAGATGCAAGATGCGGAAGGTACTATTCAGTCTAGAGATTCAAACCACACTTGCCAACCCAAAAGGACGCATACTTGTGAAAAGGAGTTCCCTCCACATTTAAAACAACCCACCACATATGATGACCCCAGTGGATTTGCCTACGACTAGTTTGAGAAACCATTTTCAACTAAATTTTAACTTCAGTTCTGCAGCCGTCTCCTTCCACACCCCAAAGAAACCTGCTCTTTTTGCAGTAGTCACAAGCTGCATCACATACATCAACAGCACAGAATGCAAGAAAGACAAATTAGTTTTTTCAGATCCCGTTCTCACCCAAACTCTCTTACTCACTAGAAAAACAAACCTTCTCATATCCTTAAAGGGGAATAAAAGGTCAGAATGGACTAATCTATCAAGAAATGTTTCAGTTCATAATCACAACAGCAATACAGATAGCTTGGACATTGTGAGAAAAAAATAGGAACTGTACCTTGAAGTATGCAAGAAATAAAAACTTACCCCCAGTGAATATCTCTTAAGCAATGATCAGGGTCTAGAAATCTATACTGAACAGAAGCAGAGGAAAATTTTTTCTGAGTCTCAGGGCAGAAGCTCTTTCTCTATATTCTTGGTTGAGTGAGCACATCCAGGTGTGAAATTGTTTGCACACCCCAGCACCTCTTATATTGCCAGCAAAATTAGCTGTTATTACTGTCACTGTTTAGTGATGGTTAGCGTGATACAAAAAAAAAAAAAAACTGCTGTAATCAAGACCTGGCGCATCTTTGCAAATTACAGATAATTGTAAACGTCCAGATTATGATAATAGCATCCTAATCCAGCCTGCAATATAATTATTACAGAGTGTTACATCTGAAACTGTCCAGTAGGGCTAATTCAGCCATTATTTAGACCCTATTTTTGCACTGCAAATGGGTTGCTGAGTTGAAAATGTACGATTGTAATTTTACAGGGCACTCAATGAGTAATGGTATAGGAAGAGGAAAACACAAAAGTGAAATGTGAACAGTAGCGATCAAATCAAACCCTGAAGGACAAAAGACTGTTTGATTCATATGGAAAAAGAAGAGCAGGAATTAAGAAAATAGCAAATCAGTGGTCTGAAGCATTACGTGTCCAAATCTTCAATATGTGTAGGACTGATGTGTTTGCAAGGGTTTCTGCATCTGCTGCTGCCTGGAGTCTGAAATAATTCTTTTAACCTCAAGTCTCCCCCAACCCCACCCCCCCCACCCCCACCCTCTCTCCAAATTGAAAAAAAAAACCGCTTTCTTGCTTAGGAAAAAAAAAAGTGCACCTCCCCCAAGCAAAGAACATTTGTCAGTTTCACCATTGTTTCCAGGAAGGCAGCCCAGAGTGTGCTTGTCACTTGTTTATGAACATTTTCTTAAATGAATTTGCAATCTCTCTTGTCATCAGAGCAAAACGCCCCGGGTGCTGCTAAGTGTTCCTACACTCAGTCTCCATCCTCTTTCACAGCAAACGAGTCATTGAGAGTCCTAAAGGATATTAACAGAAACATATTAATTGCTGCTAATTAAATAAAGTTGGTAGGGAAGCTCTCTCCTCCACTAGGTTTGTCTGGCTTTGGGTTTTAATACTATCATTAACGTTTATTAATTAACACCCTTCCCCCCATACAGTCCAGTATAGCTACTGCTTTTGCGACAAGACACTAATATGTTGCTGTCTGGGTTCCAGAAAATCCAGTTTTCTGTAGTTTTGATAAAGGACAGTTCCTTCCTCACCCCCCTCCCCACCATATAGTGGTAAAGAGTAACACGTAACACGGGGGACAAGAGAAATAAAGTCAGAGAAAGTCTAAAGACAGGTTATGCCCGCCCCAGAGTCAAAATGAACCTTTTGAGTCAGTTGTGGCTTTGGGGATGAAGACTTCTCTATCCCGGTTGAGACTTCTGGAGTCTAGTTCTAGCAGAGTACTTGTCTTTGTGGACACCTAAAGTTCATATATCTATCTCCAAATCTCTCCTGAGCCCTGCATGAGCCAGGACCCCTTCTTCAGCATCTTTTCCAGCCTTCAGAACAGAGTAAGAAAATTCTCCCTTTCCCCCTCCCCTTCCAGACCCGCTCAGGGCCACCCTGCAGGGCAGTGAGCAGGGGTCCTAACTCCTGTGAATTTAAGGGCAATAATGAAATGTACCCCTGTGTAATGACCCCTGTTTATAGATACAAGTTGAGGCTGTATCTTGCCCTTTCCCTGGCCCCTATTCTCCCACCTTGCAAATGGCAAGTAGCAGGAATTGTCCCTGGATGACAGCTTCCAGTAGTAGATTTCTGTCTTGTCTTTGCAAGGGGGGAAAAAAGTGCTTTAAAATAAATCATAGCTTGGGAATTGTTTACTGCCCTTCACCCCCACCCTCTTCTTTAAAACACACACGTCTGCCTATGGTAGAGACTTCGCAGAGAATTGTTACTGAAACTTGGAGGGTACGTGTGTAGAATGATGTTATGAAGTCATTTTTTCCCTTCCTGTGGTGAAAGGTCGTAATGTGTGGTATTTCACGGTTTTATATAAATCTTGGTTTAGGATATGGAACCGATTCAAAATTACATGTGCTTTTGGCAAAGAGAGTCATTCGGATCCCCATAAATTAGAAGTAACTACAAAGTATCAGCGAACAAAAGAGCAGAAATATTTAATTGCTGTAAGAGAATTCTCATCTCCTTTAAAGGGAGATTCATTAATTCCCCAGCTTCCTATAAAACAGATTATTACATTACAACGGGCAACCTTGTAGGACGGGAGGGAAAGACTCTACGGGCATCCGACTAGTCCCCTCCGCAGGGGATACAACTTAGACTTTCTACCCCAACCAGCGGGGGACCTAACGCTTGTCAGATGCAAAGGAAAATGCGAATTGCCGGGCTGGGGAGGGGGGGATATAGGGATGCGTAGAAAAAATATTTAGCCAATCCCACATCTACTATCGCTATTCGAGCTATTTTTCAGGCCCAGAGTTCACCGTGCCTGGGGGGGGCGACGGGGGAAGCCAAATGCATTGTACAGGGAACCTGGGGACGCCAGAGGAGGGAGGGAGCAAGCCGCAGCGCCCCCTCCCCACCCCAAACTCCCGGGATCCCAGAGCCTCAAGCCTGCCGCTGTGGGAGGGGGTGCTTTCGGGTAGAGGAGAGAGGTGACCGCAGGCGGACCCGCCGGCGTGGCGCGATTCCCAGAGGTGCCCGAGGGCGTCTGCCCTCTGGGCGTGCCTCCCGGGAGGACTGGTGAGCTCCGGCTTGGCGCGATCCCCGTGGCCAGTGGGAGGCGCACGATCCCAGGGCCTGCGGGCTTGGGGGGGGGGGCGGGGGGGTGGTCCATCCGCTTCTGAGAGAGGCAGTGCAGGGGGGCGGGGGCGGGCTAAGAGCTGGAGGCGGGGGGGGGGGGGGGGCAGCGTTCCTGGAGGCATCCCTGGCGCTTCAGGCTGGACTTCGGGAACCCCGGAGGGGTCAAGGCCCGAGTAAACCGTCGGGCGCGCAGGGAGGAGGCCAGCACGGTTTGGCCCTGGGCCCACAGTGGGTGACTCCCAGGACGGCGCGGCCAGGACGCCGAGACCCACAAGGCGTCCGGTGGGATCAAAGGAGCCCCAAGGAGGCCAGCCGGCGCGTCTGGGATTGTGGGATCAGGGGTGGGAGAGAGAGAACTGGCAAGGGCGGGGAGATCCTGGCCTGGCCTGTGTCACCAGGAGGGGGTGTGTGCGTGTGTTGATGTGTGGGTCAACACGCTCCTGCCTGAGGCTGAGGCCTGGGTGGATCCCAGTGTGGGTGGACTGGCTCCCGGGTGGGTGCCCCACCGGGAGGGAGAGTGAGCGAGCGAGATCAAGGGCAGCGAGGTTTGCGGGTTCCTGTGTGTGTGTGTGTCTCAGGCCCTGTGGCTCAGCACTGGAGCCGCCTGGCACCCACAGGAATGAGGCTTTGCTCGGCTCTCCAGGCCGTCCCCTGTTCCACAAGGAGGTGGCCGCCAGGAAAAAGGGGGGTGGTGGTGGTGGGGGGAACAGGGCAGAAATCCGCCTAGCCCAACTCTTGCCTCAAACAAAGACCAATTTATCTCTTCTCTTCTAAGAGGGCCCTGGAGGCGAACCGGGCACCGAGGAATTGCCAACGCTGCCAGCATTCCCTCAGCCTCCTGGGTCTTATAAGGAGGTTTGAGGATAGTGTGTGTGTGTGTGTGTGTGTGTGTGTGTGTGTGTGTGTGTGTGGAGGGGGGGCATTGGGAGAATTGGGGTGTGAAGGGGAGCTAAAGAGGCCCATGAAAAAGAATTAAATCTTCAAGTGGACCTGATTCATATGGGAAGCTAAGCAAGCAGAGGTCCAGGAGTGGCGATCAGAGGGGAGTCCAGGGAGGGGTTGAGAAACCTGGGTCAGATAGAGCAGTAGGATGCGCAGGAATGGTGCACCTTTCTATTAGGCTCGGCACAAACAATGGAGAGATAGAGGTGGGTGGGAGGGGAGAGAAACATCTTCTTAGATATTTTTAGACTTTGCTGAGGATCTGTTATTTTTACATCGCTGGGCGCAGGACTGCTGGGAGTTAAATCCTCCTGGGAGAATCCCCATGGTGCCAGGGAAAACCCGCTACAGAGTGATTTGTCAGAATATTTTTGTCCAAGACTTGCGGACCAATTTTAAGAGCGGAAAAAGGGGGCGGCCGGCCGGGAGGGAGGGAAGGAAAGAGGGAGGGAAAGAAAGAGAGAAAGAGAGAGACGGAGGGAGGGAAGGAGAGAGAGAGAGAGAGAGAGAGAGAGAGAAAGAGAGAGAGTGCACTGTTTTAGAGAAGAGGCCACTGCAAGAGGAAGAAGTGACATTAGCATAAAGGAAAGAATCCTGAAGTCAAGACTGTGTCGCTGAGAGGCTGGAGAGTTTAATAAGAGCATCAGGGCTGGGAGAGGAAAGGCGGTTGTTAAGTTTCCCGCTTCTTTCCCAAGAAGAGTTCGAACTTGGGCTTCTTGCTGATCGCCTGCTTGTTTAGTGGGGTAGTAAAAGCAGGGATAGAGGTGGGAGAGGACAGGGGCAGTTGGAAAAATACCTACCCACAGTGTGCGTGGGAAGAAAAGGAGCTTGTACCTAGCACATCCCTGCCACTCTCAGGAAGCCAGTGGGTGGGAAGTGTGAAGAGTCAGAGAGTGGGTGCGCCCCCCAACCTTCCCAAACAAGCACTCCAAGCGCATGCGAGGCGCGGCTGCAGAGTTCCTCCCTACTGGATTCATCAGAAATAAAGCACAGGCTCGGGTGTAAAGGAAACTCTGAAATCTTACAAGCAAAGAAAGAAAAGCAGGAAATGAATCCCTCTACCCCCACCCCCAATCTCCTATTCTCTGCTGGTGGAAAAAAAAAACACCAAAGTGGAGCTTCATGTGGCTTTGCCCACTATGCCTCCATCATCCCCAGCTTCATCTGAGAAAGGGGGGAAAAGAGAGAAATCCTGGAGAAGGGACTGCTAGGGCTTTGGTGTGTGTATGTGTCTGTCTGTGTGTCTGTCGCGGGGGGGGGGGGGGGCGGGTACAGGTTGGAGAAGAGGAGGGTCTGCAGTGGAGTATGGCAGTCTGGTGGGGTTTCCTAAAGACCCAGCAAACCTTTGAATTCCTGAAGGGAGAGAGAGAGAGAGAGAGAGAGAGAGAGAGAGAGAGAGAGAGAGAGAGAGAGAGAGAGAACAGAACACACACACACACAGGTAAATTCCCCTCCAGGCACACAGCATGCCTTTTCAGGTCTAGTTCCCAACCCTGGAAGAGACTGCTCTGAAATCCTCAGATGACAGGATGTAATTTTTTATGTTCTAATCTTTAACCCCCACATCCCCCCCCTTTAAAGAAGCTCTTTGTCACATTTATTGCTGCCAACTTCCCTTGCTGTAAAATGTTTCTCAAGCATCTTGTAATTTTCAACATGCGATTATCCAAGAAACAGAGCCAAAGGAACTATATGACATTCAAGTCCAGGAGACAGCTCTGGACCCCCTCCGGGAGCTCTGCGCACACTCCTGATGTCTAAAAGTAAAGATACTGGGAGAAGGACAGGACGTAGGCAAAGGATGCAGCAAATCCATCCTCTCTACCCCAAGAAGGTTTCACAAAAAAGAAATCCTGCGAACAGATTCAATTTCCCATCCTTTGGAAACTGCTTTGTCTTTGTTTTATGTAAAAAGCAAAGCAGAGAGGAACTCTCCCTGAAAAACTCAGAGTGGTGAAGAGAATGGAGAGGGAAATTATATTAAGACTATTACCTCACCCGAAATGATATCAACATGAGGCCACAAAGCTTTCATTCCTTCCCTCCACTCCACAATTCCCACTCTTGGCAGGGGAAGAAATGCTCTCCACGTGCCCTGCTGGCCTTCTGATTTAGGCCCATCATTGTTCTCCAGGCCTTTTTCTGAAAGAGTTCAAATACATTTATAATCATTTCTAATCATGCACCCAAGGAGTCCAAAGCTCCACCATTTGTCATGCTGCAAACACTTCTGATTTTAAAAAAAATCTAAGAGAAATGAGGGTAAATGTCTTCCTTTTTGTTTCATTTTCTCATCTCTAAAAGCTCCCTTTGAAGGGAGTGTAATTTGTCTAATTGCTCTGGCAATACACAGAAGCTGATGGTGGGGGGGGGGGGGGAGGTAGTTCTTCAAAATAATTGCATTGAGTTTAGAATTCAGAGGAGTTTTTGAGGGATTTCTGTTGCTTTTGATACACAGGCTGGAAGGGTTGTATTTGGATTCCAACATTACCTTCTACCTGAGACAACTTGGGGTTAAACTTAAAATTATTTAAACTTTTTCTTGGTAGTTAGACAAAAAAAAACTCACCTATATATTATACAGCAACACTATAAACAGGCCACATGTATAAAGGCATATTAGTACAGCATCCAACATATACACATGTACAGTTCTCAACCATGCAGCCACCAATTTGTTTCCTTTTTGCCTTGTTGACCATTGCACAGCTTGTCTTCTTTTTAATGCCTATGTAAAACTTCACTAGCTCATTAGAAGTGAGGCAAAGGAGTATCTTTTTTAGAACTCTTTTGCTTTCATGGTCGAAATAATTTTATTTATCCAGAATATACAGTTTAATTCCTCTATCTACACTTATTTACATGGTTAAAATAACATTGAAAAAAGTCTTTTGAAAAGTTGAGGTCATAGATTTCAAGGCACCATTGATAGTGTCCACAGTTGCGCACAAAAAAAAAAAAGTTCGTCTGTAAAAAAAAAGGGAGGGTGGGGGTCCTTTGAAATGCAATAACTTACATGCAAAAAAAAGCTTTACACATGACTCTCGGTTCCATTTTCCAAACTTCCCCATAAGAATTCTTTTCTTTATGATTTTCTAAAACAGCAAAACACAGTAGTCCCATAAAAGAGCAAGAAAGCGGCCCATCTAATAGAGGGTCCCGGAGGCCAAAGCCAGCGGGTGCTGTAAGGAGCCAGGCGGCGGCAGGTGAGAATTGATCGAGCTGGCTGCGCTGGGGTACCAGGAAGCCGAGTTCTCCAGGTAGCTGGACGCGGGGGACTGATTGGAGGTCGGAGGGTGGGCATGAGGGTGGTGGCTCAGCGAGCGGGACGAGCCTTGGGGCTCCCACACCGCCGGAGACTGAGGGGAGTTACACGCCATAGGGTCGCTGGAGCTGGGGCTGTGCTCCGGGGGCATCTCCCCGTTTTTCATGATCTTCTTGATCTTGGATCTTTTGTTCTGAAACCAAATTTTCACCTGGGTGGGGGAACAAAGGCACAGGTTACCGGGACACTGGGAGGCCTCCCGCGCCTTCCCCTGGGCTGCGACCCGAGGTATTTTTGGCCTCCAAGCGGCCGGGCCCACGCTCCGGGCCTACGATCCAGGGGCTGGGCCTCAGGCAAAACCTGGATCGCGGGTCCCCGGGGGCGCCGGGTCCTGCACCACTTGCACTGCGCTGCGGCCGAGCACGACTCCCAACCTTTTGTCTTTTGTCTGGGCTGGAGAATTAGTGTGGCCGAGGTACGCGTGCACGCGCGCGTGGAGATCTGCGGGGCTGACTGAACGCGACGCCGCAAAGGTGTTCAAAACTATGACCGGAGCCCCGAGAGAAAAAGCCTTGGAACAGGCTATCCACAAGTGTGCTTGGGGCCGGCTGTGTGTGTGTGTGTGTGTGTGTGTGTGTGTGTGTGTATGTGTGTTTGTGTGTGTGTTGGGGGGGTAGGGAGGGTTGCCAGATTGCAATCTGGCACCTACCCCCCTACCCTGGCTCCTAGAGCTGCTTCCGCCTGCAGTTCCAGCAACCGCTTTCTTTATTCTCCTACGGGGCCAGCAGTATTGTGCGTAGGAGTGAAGAAGGACTTAGGACCATCCTGGGATCATTTCCCCATACAACAGCGCCCCCAACCCCCTACTTCAAGACCCTTTCGCTGCAGAGGCCTGATAAACCGCCGAACCCCAGATCCAAACAACGTTCTCGACTCTCTAAGAGTCTGGAGCCTACCGAAGGCCGCTGGTTTTTTTTTGCACAGCTCGAGAAGCTTTACTTTGTGCTTCCAATCGGGATGGATTTAGGAGGATTTAGAGCGTCCCAGAAAGAACCCTCCTAGGAAACTGCCGGGTCGGCCATCTCTGCCCCGGCCCGAGGTGGTGGGGGAAAACTCATTTCAGACGGTCGGCACCTCCATCCCGTCTCCACCTTGCTGGCGCCAATGCGAGGCCTGCCCTGAGGAGGAAAGGGCGAGGGGCGGCACCTTTCTGTCTATCTGCAAGTTTCTCCCTAGTGGAATTGGCCCCAGTTCCACGCAACCGACCCCGTGCGGGCCGGCCTGGCTTGCAGCCAAAGCGGAGCTGCTGACCAGCCGCGGCCAGAATTACCTGTGTTTGCGTCAATCCCAGCGAGGCAGCCAGCTCGGCGCGTTCGGGCAGGGCGAGGTACTGAGTCTTCTGAAACCTCCTCTGTAACGCGGCCAGCTGAAAGCTGGAATAAATAGTCCTGGGTTTCCGAACTTTCTTTGGTTTGCCATTCACCATCCTCACCTCGGGCTCTGCCACTTCTTTTTCTAAATAATCAAAAGAGTCCCGGTTAGAGCTGGTCGGCAAACAAGGGCCCTTTTGCAGAACCTGCAGCTACCAACCTTGAGTTTTCTACCACGCAGTCTTCATTCTACTTCCCCACTTCACCATGATCTTCGCTTTACAAGACTCAGAGAAGTAAACCCCTCACCCAAATCGTGATAGGCCAGGTGGTCTCGATAACTCCCAACTCTGTTAGTTCCGTTTCTCAAGGGCTGGTGCTGCGCGAATTTTAACGGCATTGTGCCTCTTGGGGCGTACGCGATTGCGCCGGTGCAGCGGTGCCAGCTTTACCCCGACTTGTTTTTTAAGCCCACCTTCTGCTCAGCCGCATGTCTCGGGTATTTCTTTGCCACCTCCGCCGGGACTTCAAGGGGGTTTGGGGGGAGGCTCGGGTGGTGACCTCCCCATTCTGTCAGCGTCTGTTCGGGCGACCGCGGAGGCCAGACGCTTGGGCGAGGAAGAAGCTAACCGAGGTCTCCAAAGTTCAAAGACCCACAAGCAAACTCTGCTTCTTCAATTCAGCAGTAAAGCGGTCAGGGCCGCTGCAGACAGAGGGCCGATTATGCAGCCCCCATAATCTCCCTGCAGATCTGCGAGGACACAGATGTGTCTGGTTTCTTCTACAAATAGACTTAATAAGTTCTTAGCCGAAAGGAAAAAAAATCTTTCACTTTTGTACGAAATACAGAGACAGTGAAAGGAAGGCACTTCATCCCAGTCTCGCATTAAAGTTCACCAAGAGTCCCGTGCAGAAGAGGAATCAGAGGATGGGGTGTTTCATTGGAAAGGGGCGCAGACCAGGTTGTGAGTCTGAGCTGAGCACGGGGGAGGGGGTGGAAGAATCCCAGAAAAACTGTTTGATAAACGGGCCCTGGGGCCACAAGTCCCTAGCTCCTGAATTACCACCTTATCACATGTGTACATCTTTGTAAGGAGTCACAGAACCTCTAAGTCGAGTGTGTGTGTGTTTGTGCGTGTGTGTGTGTGTGAGAGAGAGAGAGAGAGAGAGAGAGAGAGAGAGAGAATATAGGAGAGAGACAGATTCTTGGGAAAGGATGGGTGGAGGATGAAGACTGTGGTCTACATTTTGCCGAGGTCAGGCGGATGCTAATACTAGCAGGAGTTACACGTGCTGCTCTGAAAAGATCAGATCTGACCCCAGTAAGCCTATTGTAGTGGTCTGCCTGCCTTTCCACGGCCCAATCACACTATGCCCTTACCCCCAAATTTTCCAAATAAGTTCAAGACCGAGTATGGTGGGGTAGAGACAAATTTGGGGCACCTCTGGAGGAAGAAAAAAACAGACTGTTCCAATAATGTGACCTCCCACTGAGCCATCCTCTACTTTTAAATGGTTTCTTGATTTTGGAAGTGTCCTAGATAGACGGCAAGGCTCTCTGCCTGCTCTTTCCCTCCACGTTCTCGTCCTCCCACCCTCACCCCGACCCCTCACAGGCCCTGCCGGCTCTCCCGTTGAGGGCGTCGATTCCACTAGCACCGGCTGAGCACGCTCACCCCAAACTGCAACAACCAACCTCCTCTTGATTACGCAAACGCCGCTTGGGCGGCTTGATTCTTCTCTCCACCCATACCACTTTACAGCATTTGGGGCTTCCCGGCTAGGCTTGCCAGGAATGTGGATCTCACTGAGGGTCCCCTGGAAGGTATGCAAAGAGCCAGATCCTGGCCCGGGAGCCCCAAAGGCTTCGAGTAAGAATCCTGATTGCTAGCGGCCCGGGTGGGGGGGCCCCTGTGGCTCGCAGAGTTCAGCCCTCCACCTCCACCCCATCTCCCTTCTTGCCAGGGGCGCCCCCTTTTGCAGTCAGTGGGGTGGCCCCCAGTCTTCCACCCCGCTTCATTCGTCCGGGGTGTCTCCCCGCAGCTTCTTACCTGGCTGAGTGGAGGCGCTGGGGACGCGGTTGTAGGCGCCGCCGTACTGGTGGTAGGGGCTGGCGTAGCTGTAGTCGGCGTAAGCTTTGGCGGGGTAGCTGCCGGCGGAGCCGTTCACGCCGTGGTACTGGTACTGGTAGGGGTTGAGGGCTTTGCCGTAGGAAGCCGAGGTAGGAGAGCAGTAGCCGTGCGGGGCTCCCCCCGCGGGGCTGTAGTAGTCGGAATCGGTGGCCGACGACTCTGGTAAAGTTGGAGATTCCTGAGACGGGTGGTGCATGGCTGAGGACGTCTGGAAAGGAGCTTGGAAGTCGCCGGATCGGATGCTGGGGACCCTTCTGTCAAACACTCCTGTCATCGCTCCCAGGCGGCGGCGGCTGATCCTGCTACTGTGGCGGCGGCGGCGGCTGCCCGAGTTGGCTGTGGGGCGGCTCTGGTCTAAGCAGACATGGCTGTGGGAGCGAGGGAGGAGGAGGAAGAAGAGGAGGAGGAGAAAAGGAGGCGGCGGCGACGGCGGCGGCGGCGAGGAGGAAGCTGGGAGTCGTGGAGGCTCTGTCTCCGGCAGGCTGACTGCTGGTTGAGGCGCAGCACAGCCTTGGTTAAATCCTTAATTGCGCGCTTACGCACAGCGGGGTGGATCGGGTTCCATTGGCCAGGGCCTCCAGAGCAGCAGCAACACCCTAACTCGTCCAACTAGTTTTAGCACAACAAAGCGTTGCTTAAAAAAAGAGGGAGAAAAAATGGAAGGGAGGGGGACTGTGTGTGCGTGTGCGTGTACATGTATAAGTGCTGTTGCAGTGTGTGAGTGTGTGTGTGTGTGTGTGTGTGTGTGTGTGTTAGGAGGGACGGTGTGCAGTCTGTTTTGAGTGAATACTAAAGACAACATAGAGTCCCCTGTATACATCTCTGTAATGTCTGGAGAAAATGTGTTCCAGCCAACCACGTCGGAAAGTGCACATTTTTGGTGACAGTGAGAAGTGATGATCAGTCTATGCTCACCACCTCCTGCCCTTTTGGGCTCACCAGAAGGGAGTGTGGAATCATATACACTGATGTTGACGTGGGTAGCCCCACGTGGGAGGAACATGAGTAGGAACAAAGACTAGTACCTTTAGTGGGATGCTGGGAAACAAGTTGTAACTTCCATGTGTTGAAAATTTGCAACTTGGGTCAAGACAAATGTGCATCAAGCACTTCCTTTGCACAAGATGAGTATTCCTCAAACTATTACTGGGTACAGATACTCAAGAAGGCAAACTGTCCATTCAGTGGTAAATGGTATGATTTCTGCAGCCCTAAGTACCTACAATGACTCTTTATAAACTCTACCTTAAGCATAAATAATGGTGCTCAAATTCTCAATGTTGGTTCTGAAGAATAGTACGCAGGCCTGTATTTCCTTCAGTGTCCTAGTCTACCTAGGGACCACTGGAATGAAAAGGCTTGTAATTCTGGATTCCGTGTCTAAGACTCTTATGACTTGTCATTCCTTCTGGATCAGATGGAAACTGAGAAACATGCAAAAATGCATAGATCAGACTTCTCAGTGAAGCTTAGTGAAGCTCCAAGATTTCACTTTCTTTGTTCCATGGCCAGCACCAGAGGTTCTAGTTTTCCCTTCCTGAGGCTTAGCTTCCTGCTCCCTCATCCCTGTGTTTTCCACCTTGAAGACATCTGAGCAACTGTGCAAAGGATGAAAGGGCTCAGGAATCAAACACAAGCCCAGTACTGCGGTCTGGTCCATAGTTGGTTTTTTATGAAGTGTCAATTTTGCTCTAGTTGTGATTCATCTGGGAGAGAGCTTAGACATTTTGTGTAAGTCATTTTACAGTTCTCCATTTTTCCACCTCTCAAATAGTCTAGGAACTGAGTCCTGACTTAGGTCTTCCCAAAAATTTTATACAGATATCGTGCAGTTCTGCAAATGGAAGCTCCATCTTCCCTACTCCTTCAACTGAAGAAAGCATCTAACTTAACTGTGTCTAAGGTTAGTTTAGTCTGCCTTTTGTCATGGAACTACTCCAGCCTCCAATAAGCTGGCAGAGAGAACTGAGATGCATGGAAACCAGAGCAGCATGTGAATTCCATTGGGCTTCAGAATTCCAAAACCAGTTGCTTTACATATACCATTTGTCTGCTTTTACCATGTGGAAGCACATTTATTGTTAGAACTTGGGTTTGGGGCAACTTTAATGCTGATGTCCTCAGGGAAGGGGATTTGTAGGTCAAATGATTCTGCAACAGCCTCCTGCCAGGGTCTTTGTGTGTGGCCTGCATTGCCCTCAGAGCCAGATGCTTTGCTGTTTGCCCACCCTCACCTCCTCTGTCAATATGGGCACAGCTATTCATATTCTAGATTACATGGGAGGAACTGCAAAGCATTGAGAAAACACCATTTACCCCATTGGGTTTATAGTCCTGGGTTTGGGGATGGAAAAATTCTCTAGGGCCCATCAACTCATTTTCACATGTCCTGTCATTTAAAGACCTGAATTGCTTTCCCCAATCAATGCCCAGGGTCTGTTCAGAGTGTTGCCAGCAGCCTCTAGTGGCATAGCTAGGTGGCCTTCTACTGATGCCCCCACTCCAGGCACTTATCATTTATTACACATATAAAATTTACTACACAGGAAAAATTAGGTCAACATGGTTCTGCAAAATAGGGTGTTTCTAGTGATGCCCTTGCTGAAAAGAAGAAGAATCCAACAAAGATGGGAAATGGGAGAGTTTGGACCAAATTTCAAAGTCCAGAATACTGTGGCAAGCACAATACTGTAATGTTAAATTAGTTTCTAGACCTTATTAAAGTTCATTTTTGGGGCTGGAGCAATAGCATATAGCAGGTAGGGCATTCACCTTGCACGTGGCCAACCCAGGTTCGATTCCCAGGGTCCCATATGGTCCCCTGAGCACCACCAAGAGTGATTCCTGAGTGCAGAGCCAGGAATTGTCCCTGAGCACCGCAGGTGTGATCCCAAAATAAATAAATAAATAAAGTAAGTAAGTTCACTTTTCTTCTATTTTGGAAAAAGAAGAAAGAGAGAAAGAAAGGAAAGAAGAAAGAAATATTGGGATTTTTTTCCCTCCATATTTTACACAAAAGGGAAACTGGGAAGAAGGAAAGAATTTATTTCCTTTGCTTTAATTCCTCTGGTGGTGCTTCTTATGCCAGATGTAAGTCACTAGCATAAACCCAAACTGGGTGAGATCTTCTAAGTTCCAGAGCCTGACTACTTTCTACAGCTTCTTTTAGATTGACTCCTTACACCCCTCCCCCCTCCACCAAGGCAGAGACAGGAAGCGCTTTCTTAAAAGGAGCGCGAGCCTGTTCCCAGTATAGACCATTTTATCTCATTAGAGTCTTTAAATGTACTGCCTGGTGGAGGCTCGGGATCCACACTGCGGACACACAATGCCCTGAGCACCCTGCTAGCAGGGAGCAACTTTTGCTTATACCATAGGAGATTCTGACACCCAAACCCGAACTTTGAAAGCCTGCGGGCAGGACGTTGTTGCGTTTTCTTCAAGACCCACCGACAGGCCTCAGATAATCAGCCTTCTCCAGAAATGCGGCATGTAGGAAGAATGCGGGTAATTTCATCTCCTGGTAGCCGAAATCTGCCAGGGACGGGAGGGGACCGGGTGGCGGGGCTGGGGGTGGGGGAGAGCCGGACCCTAAGAGAAGTGCAAGTCTTTACTACGAGCGCCACCCAGTGTTCTTAAAAAACAGCGCGCAAATTCTAAAGGCTCCCCAAGCCTCGGGTCTGACAGGCCGATTCCCCAGGCTTGAATCCACTTATAGGCTTTCCCTTTCCACTCCCAGGCCCTTTTATTCCTTTCCTTTACTCCTTATATATTCGATCTCTTCCTTCCCTTTCCACCGGATCCCCACTTCCCCCTGGGTTTCAGCACCAAATCTAGCGGCGATTTGAGAGGCATTGTGCTCTGTACAATCTCCTCTACTGGGAGTGATGAAATAGTCAAGGGCTGCGCTTGTTTCCTCGAGAGTTGAGAAGAAGCAGGCCTCCTATTAAGTAGCTAACCGACGCGCTGCAGAAGCTGCTTGGGGTCGTTCACTGCTTCTGGGAACTGGAAAAGAAGAACCACCCTGGAAAGTGCTTGGAAAAGGGTGACAGGCTATAAATTTAACACCTGCATGACTTCCTTTCCTCAATCTCTGGTTCATATGGAAACGGTGACTCATAAACATGCTAAAAGTAGAACATCTTTTCCTTTGGGCTCCAAATTCAGACAAATAGATGCACCTGAACACATTTCATTTACAAACAACAGAATGATAATAATAAATAATTTATAATAATAAATATTAGAAAAAATAGTTTTATGTATTTAAAACACTGTACAGGTCTCTTGATTGCATATAATTAAGAATATAAGGGATGGGGCTGGAGCGATAGTACAGAGGATAGGGAGTTTACCTTGCATTCGGTTCACCCCGGTTGGATTCGCAGCATTCCATATGGTCCCTGCCAGGAGAAATTCCTGAGTGCAAAGCCAGGAGTAACCCCTGTGGATAGCTGGGTGTGACCCAAAAAGAAAAAAAAACAGATAAGAGACCCCATAACATGATATATTGTACATACAAATAGGATAGAAATAATGCTTCATGCAATCGTTTAGTGAGTCTTTTGTATGCCAAACAATAGTCTTCCCTCTTATATTAGCTCTCTGGCCCCTACAGACTACCCTTTAATGACCTGTTTGGGGAACCAGGTTTGTTAACAAATTTATTTAAGATGGTTTACTTATTTATTTATTTTGACTTTTTGGGTCACACCTGGTGATGCACAGAGGTTACTCCTGGTTCTGCACTCAGAAATTACTCCTGGCGGTGCTTGGAGGACCATATGGGATGCTGGGGATGGAACCTGGGTGGGCCACGTGTAAGGAAAATGCCTTACCTGCTATACTATCACTCCAGCCCTTGGTTTATTTATTTATTTTTGCTTTTTGGGTCACATCCAGCGATGCACAGGGGTCACTCCTGCCTCTGCACTCAGGAATTACCCTTGACAGTGCTCAGGGGACCATATGGGATGTTGGGAATCGAACCCAGGTTGGCTGTGTGCAAGGCAAATGCCCTACCTGCTGTGCTATCGCTCCAGTCCCCTGTTTTTTTATTTTTAATTAATATTTTGGTTTGTTTTTGAGCCACACCTGGCCATGCTCAGGGGTTATTCCTGGTTCGCACTCAGGAATCATTCCTAACTGTGCTTGGGGAAACCATATAGGATGCTGGGGATTGAACCCAAGTCAGTAATATGCAAGGCAAATGCTTTACCCTCTTTACTACCTCTCTAACCCAAAGTTTCATTTACTTTCAATATGTATTGCTTCACCCATTACTTTTCTCTGTTGTCTCTATTGATCACCATTTATCTGGAAGTACTTTTTGTTTGTTTTATTTTGGTTTTTGTTTTGGAGCTATACCCGGTGGTGCTCAGGTCTTACTCCTGGCTGTGCACTCAGGAATCACTTTTGGTGTTCTTGGGGGACAGTATATGCTGCTGGGGATCAAACCCTTGTTGGCTGGTACAAGGTAAGCACTCTGTCCACTCTGCA